TAATAGACATCATTGCTTGTTTTTTTCCCCCTCTCACATATGAACCCAAATCACCAATAGATGGCAGGATTGTTTTCTCCATTTGTTTTCCTGGAATATGTTGATCTCCTTTGCAAATCTTGATCATGCTTTGAGTGATATAATCCTTCAGGACTCAAGAGGTGTGTGTTATCAGATGTACTGTATTATTGAGTTACACCACTCCTGACCTGACAGTTGCCCTACTTAATTCTGAATTTAAAGCCATGTGATGGAGACAAAACGTTTCATAAGAGGTCACACGATGCATCAGGCACTTATTATTCTAATCTGATCCTATGATCACTACATTTAATGTAATTCCAAGTCCTAAAAAAACATTTTCCTGAATTGAAATCAGCCTTGCGGTCAGTGTACACCGTTATGAAGAGGAAGCAACCAGAAAACTTTGCTTTGGCAACAACCCATTTTTGCTCATATCACCATCATGTTGTCCATCTGGGCTTCATTCAGTTTCCTTTCTACTCGGCATTCCATGAATCTGTTTTCCTTCCAGGAAATATGGGAATATAGTTTCTTTGCTTCACCCAAAAAAATATTTTTCAACCTAAGCCATCTCCTTAACATCTTCTAGTATCTTTTTTTGACTTGTGTGTCCATTATTTATTTGTTGTTAGCTGGTTTTCAGTCTTGTCTTCATACCCAGTTCCATTGCTTCTGTCAGAGAGAGCTTGTTATAGTCTGTTGTGGATCTGAAGAGCAGACAGCTCATGTCTCAGTGTCTTGGAGCATCCCACAGGGGTCCAAGGGGATATTCGGAGCCTCAGATATCTAAAACAGGAGACATTTTAGTCCCTGAACCAGCGCTGGATCTGTCAATTCTATTTCAAAGAATCCCAGACAGGTAAATGCAACCTTATCTCTAGACCAGGTATATGTGTTTGTTAACCAAGCTACGCATAGTTTGTGTACATTTCACAATCAGTTGAGCGCCGAATGGTGTAAGAGAAACATTCCTAGCAGATGACGGGAAAACGGATCCACTATACCGCAACTCCTGTCACAGGAGGACCAGTCATGAACAGAAAATAGAACATATAGGCCTCCTTATTCACTTGGGGGACAGAAAGGAAACATAAGACCCAAACAGCCTCACAGGAAAGGAAAGTAGCAGACTCATGTTCATATCAATGCTTGTAGTCATTGAGTGTCTGTAAACTTTCCTATGACCAGTTTATGAATGTACATGTGGAGAAATGAAAGTCAAGGTGTTATGGATTTCCCTAAACAAACTATAGCACCATGCTGTCGCCACCCAGAGAGTGAGTGGTCATTAAATGATCTAATACATAATGTCTAGACCTAACTTTGAATGTCTATATTTTTCCTCTTTGTAGGTTTCTTTGGAAATTTTGTAGCAACTCTGGTTTTGAGATAACAAAAGGTTTGTCATCAAGTTCATGGGTTAATGTGTCATCAAGGGTTGGTTCAGCTCACATGTCAAGAAAATGCCTTTTTAGTATTCTTTTCTGATGCTTGTTCATTTATGGTTCATTCCAGTGGCGTCAATGTCAACTGTTAAAATGGAGTTAGTTACAATAAAAATGATGGTTATTTGAAGAATTAAAAGTATTGAGAGAATGTACAGTTCAGTTTCATATTCCTAATTGATTTAAAACCACCCAAAGCCAGTTTTCAGGGTCAGGTAAGCTCCTTTTACACTTCTCTCTGCCGTCTTTTTAGAGACATCTGTGGCATTTGTGAGATGACAACCTGCTGGGCGGGTTTCTGTTGGGTCATTAAAATTCCTGTTCTCTCCTCTGCTACTAAAAGCTACATGTTGGCTCATGTCCATCTCCTTTCTTTGGTGCTGGAAAAATGTGCCGTTTTGCACTGATCTGAGACTTTTGCTCTTTCGCTTAATAAAATATAGATAAGAATGTTAGTAGCAGAAACTGTTTTTAGATCAGGGCGTAACAGAAACCTTCAGCCAGATGAAAAATAGGTAAAAGCCCTGAAGGGAGGTGACCTTCATTCAAGGGAGAAACAGATACATGACTTTGGCTCTGAAGATGTTTCAGGTGACCTTTAGCCTCAATTTTCCTGCATCCCTGGTGGCCTCAACAAGAGCCTGCCAGATCAAACCCAGGGCTTTGATCAGCACATTGTGAGTGCACACTGGGTGACCTGGTCATGTGTAGATGAGAGAAGAGGGCAGAGAGAGGGAGGGAGAGCAGCAACTCAAGAACAGGGTATTGTTCCCTCCTTCCTGTCCTATCCGGGCTAAATCACTACGGAAGCTTTTTTTTTGTTTTAGTCAGCTCTGCCACCGCCACCTGCCTCTCAATCTCCACCTCTTTTCATAAACCCCCCACTGAAACCCCAGCAACTCACGGGCCTCTTTAGAGTAACCTCAAGCAGTCATTCATTTGTTTATAGACACACATACTCTTAACAAGGACAAGGTCATGAGGTCAAAATCCCAGACATCCTTCAAGCAGACATATCGGTGTTTATGAAGTTTATGGCTTTGTGACAAGCCCAGTAACATATATATACAAAATGGCAGACAAAGCAAGATTATTGTTGATTTTAAATTAACTTGAAATTCGATGCAAAAATATATATATTTTATACTTAGGGGTTATACACATTTTTGAAATTCCACTGTGCTGCTTTTCCATTGTTTTTTTCTGTGCACACACATGCTAAACGGACGTGTTTTGACTGTTGTGTAATGTGTTTTTTGAAGAATCTTGCACATGACAAGGTTAGCATGAATTAAAATCACATAACACAGGGCAGTGAGGAAAAAAAAAAAACAAGGTCTACAACAAGGACCTCAACAAGGTCTAGAGACAAGTTTTTAAAAGTTAAACTACTTATAACTTGAACACTGCATTTTTATAACATTTTGTCATGCACAAGACACGGCAAAAGATGCCAGAATTAAGTGCATTGGTCAACAACCACAGTAATGCACTGCAGTAGAATGCAAAAATGATTTCTATGGGAACTAGGCACCAAACTAGATTTTGAAATGTAGTTCAAAATGCACAGGTCACTAAGAGCGAGATAATACCTTTAATTTTTGTATTTACAGTGCTTGACAAATAAAGTCATAGATGACCTCCTTCAGAAAGTTCAGACACACAAAGTAGATTTTACTCCCAAAATAATATGTACCAGTTTCATTTTAATGTGTAGTAATTATGTATAATTAGCTAAGTTGATCATTAAACATACTCTGATGGAAGATGTTCCAGTCTGTGGTGTAACTATGTTATTATAAAACTTTTAATATGTATTGCTCTCGTCATTATAAATATTTGTTGCAGTGTGTAATAAATGTGGAGTTGTCAGCTTTTTTAATCAGCTTTTTTCTCTGCTGTTTTATGTCAGGTTAACAGCTTTTAAAACCCAAAAGGGAAAATGATGATTATTAAGAGTGTAAAGAACAGAACTGCCTCAGTGTGAGTCCTACTGCAGTGCTCTCAGGGGCAGAGCCATGGGAACGCACAGACGTCACTCCATTTCACTGTAGATTCCGCTGTGAGGGAGGGCTCGTACCGACATGTCTATACACAAGATACAGAACGTGTTTTGGGCGAGGTACAATGTGAACTTGGCCACAGAGGCGTAGCCATGCAATTAAACATTTGTGTCCTTTTACTCCTTTCAATGGCAGATATAATTTTGCAGTGAAGACAACATATTTTTAAATGGAATGACGACATCTTCTGTCTGTCTGATGACATCCTCTGTCTGGCGGGTCTACACTTGTACTATGGTCTGGTGTGTATTTACTGATTGTCCTAA